CCAGGTCCTCTGCAAGAGCAGCAAGTGTTTTGAAGAGATGCAGTCATCTCTCCAGCCTCCATGAACACTTGCTGTTCTTGCAATGACCAGAGTTCAGTTGCCAGCACACACACTGGGTGCTAAAACATCCTGAAATTCTAGAGAAGATCTGAACCCTCTTCCCGTCTGATACCTGCACTCTTGTAATTCTCTCCCTCCCCCCTCCTCTCTCCCCTCTTCCCTTTCTCCCCTTCTCTCTTCCCTCACTTCTCCCTCACTCCTTTGCACACGCGCACGTACACACACACACACAATTTAAAATAAGATAATTCTTAAGAGCTAGGGTATCTCAACTGATAGTACTTACTCATGTCACGGTCACAGACACAGCCTGAGAATTTCAAGGATGACCAATGGAGCTGCTCAACAGTGGACAGAGCGTGTGGATAGCATGGCACCCTGGTCAGTCCATGAGGCACACACGCACAAATAAGCATACAAGGAAGGAAGGGAATGGGGAAGGGAAAACGAAATCCCATGCATACGAAAACCGACGTAAAAACAATCTTTTCTAACCACAATAGTGTAAAACTAGAAATCAGTAACAGGAGACATTTCAAAAACTTCCCAGTTTGTGGGAACCAGACATAGTTCCTAAAATAAAAACTAAACAAACAAAGTTCCAAACAAACAAATAAAAGGAAAATTAAAAATGTTTCATTTGAAACAAATGAAAACAGAAACACCGAATGCCAGGACTCATGTATGCAGCCCAAGTAGTGCTAAAAAGGGAAGTTTAGGGTGATACCTAACAATATTAAATACCTACCAACATTAAAAAAGAGAGTCCCTAGGGCAACAAGAGGCCCAGCAGGTAAGAGCCCTTATCTCAAGCCTGTCAACCTGAGCTTGATCCTCAAAACTCAGAAAAAAAAAAAAAAAAAAACAGGGAAAAAGAGAACACCACCACAGACTTGTCCTCTGTCCTCGACTGAGCTCCGTGATGGACAAAAACATGATAAGTGTTTCTTAATCATAAAGATCCCAAACAACCTAACGCTGTGTCTGATACCTAAAAGATGACTAAGAGAAGCCTGAAGCTTGTAGAAAGAACAAGGTAATACGGATGAGGAAGGATTTTAAAAGAGGCAAAACAAACAAACAAACAAAAAAACATATAAGGTTTGGATATCCTTGGGGCTGGAGAGATGGCTCAGAGGGTCAGAGCACTGGCTGCTCTTTCAGAGGACCCAGGTTCAGTTCCCAGCACCCACATGATAGCTCACAACTGTCTATAACTCCAGTTCCAGAGGATCCAGCACCCTCACAGACATATATGCAGGCAAAACAAACAAATAAATAATTTTAAAAATAGGTTTGGATACCCTCAAAAATAATCATTCCTTGTTAGAGGGAAAACAACCAAAGAAACTTTAGCTGGACTAAGAAAAGTAGAAAGGAATCAAAATGAAAAATGCACCCATTCCAACCAATACAACACAAATACAAGGGCCGTAAGACTAAAAGCAATCATTCTATGGCAATAAATTGGAGAAAATGTGTATATTATTGGACATATATATCCATAAAGACAAAATAATGAATAGAAAAGTTTGAACAGATAGTGACAAGACTGAATCATTAAAGTCTGTCATCAAGAATGATCAAAGACCTCAGCCACACCCACGCACACACTACACACACACTCACACACATCACACATGCACCACGTACACACACCCACGCACTCAGACATTACACATATTCACACACACACCACCCATGCACCACGTACACACACTACACGCACTCACACACTACACACTTCACACACACACACACATGCACATACACACACCACATGCACACACACACACACCGCAGCTAATAAATCCACTCAGCAAAGTGCCAGGCTACAGAATAAACATGTAAAATTCAGTTGCATTTTCTCTAAATACAAAAGAATGCGACATGGAAATTAATTTATTCTATGCATCAAAAAGAATTGTTTAGGGTTAAGTTTAACCAAGAAAGAGAATGATTTGTGGACCAAAAACTACAAAAAAAAAATGCTGAATAAAATTAAAGACCTAAGTAGAGAAACATCTCAAGTTCACATTCCCTAAGATTTCATTTCATTAGAATGGCCCTACCACACAAAGCAGTCCCTACATTATGAACCCAAAGGACACCAGATTATCAAAGCAGTAAGAAGTTTGGGCCAGGCATGGTGGCACATATTGATCCTAGCATTGGAGAGGCAGAGGAAGGCAGATCTCTGAGTTCCAGGCCAGCGAGGCCACGCAGTGAAACTCGGTTTTTTTTTTTTTTTAAAGATTTATTTATTGAGCATCCAATGTACTGCTGGCAAGGAAGGCACCAGGTCTCATTACAGATGTTTGTGAGCCACCATGTGGTTGCTGGGAATTGAACTCAGGACCTTTGGAAGAGCAGCCAGTGCTCTTACCCTCTGAGCCATCTCTCCAGCCCAGAAACTCGGTTTTAAAAGAAAAGAAATTTAGAAGATTCACAACTCCTCATTTTCAAAATTACTTCAAAGTTCCACGTGAAAACTGTATTTCTGGTGTGAGGACAGATACGAAAGAGCCCATAAATATGCTTAAGTGATAGGGTTCAGTGACTTCAGACAAGGGCACCACGACCATTTGACGGGAAAGAGAGAGGGTGGGCTTTGTGTTTTGTTTTCAACAAGAGAGCTAGGAAAACTGGATATCTACACGTAAAATAGGAGGGGGAGGAGGAGAGGGAGGAGGGGAAGGGGGAGGAGGGAGAAGGAATTTTTGCATCATATACAAGAATTAAGTGGCAACAATTACTATGACACCAAAAACACAAGTAACGGAAGATAAAATAAACTGGGCTATTAAATTTGAAAATGTACTCATCAGAGGTGTGATGATTCATTGGGCCAATCTAAGGTGGAAGATGACCATGGAGACAAACTTCTGGGCATGACTGTACGGGTATTACCAGAGAGGTCTACCTGAAGAGGAAGGACCCTGAATACACATAACATCAGCCCGAGGGCTTTGGCCGCAGCCTGAATAAAAAGGAGCAGCAAGCTGAGCACCAGCACCAGCATTCGCCTCTCCGCTCCCTGATAGCAGATGCAAAATGACAGCCAGTCTCAAGCTCCTGCCACCATGTTTTCAACTGATGGACTGCGTCCCCAGGAAGTGTGAGACAAAACAAACCTTAGTCCTTCAGTGGCTTCGGTCTGACATTCATCACGGCACCAAGACAAGTTAAGACTACAGTGAAAAAGACAAATCAGAATGACAGGAAAAACATCCAAGTTCCATTCTGAAAAGAATTAAGACAGAGAATAACATGTGCTCAGCATACAAGAGATCCAGGGCTCAGTCTGCAGCAAAGGAAAGAAACCCGGACTAAGACGAGGTCAACAGAGCACAAGAGAAGCCAGATTTTAAAATGAACAAAGGGCTTGGCAGTATGTCTCCAAAAATACACAAGTGCTAATAAACACATGAAAGGGGGCGCACTTTAGGAATGCAGGTCAGACCACAATGAAACCACACTTCGTATGCCTGCGGATACTGTGATTGATGAAAAGCCCCACATAAATCACAAGGATGTGGAGAAGCTGGCAGGGTTACGCTGCCTTTCTGGTGGATGTGTAAGAAATAGCCCGGTGGGTATTTGCCAGCTCCTTGAATAGTTAGTTAAAAAATTAACAGTTGAAGCATGAACTTAAATGATTCACACTCCAGAGCTATCGGCAGACAAAGGGTCGACTATGGGAGGAACTTGGAGAGGAGTAAGAGCTGGATGTGTGGCATGTGGCTACTGAAAGCACGCCTACTGGGGTACTGGGGTTTTCACCCCATCTAAGCACCAGAAGCAGCAAGACACAAAGCAGAGTGGGTTACAGTCTGGAAGTGGTGAGGACACAAGGCTGGGCGCACCCAGCGGCAGCTACTCACCACGGAAGTGGCTGATGTGTCTACACGTGCCCCAGAAGGGACATTATGCAGTGTGGCACTCTACCACGACTCTAGCGATCGCTGTCTGCTGAGGATGAGCTGGACTCAGTGACCTAATTCTTTTATTTTTGTGGGAGAGGGGAGAGGAGTTGGTTTTTGGTTTGGAGACAGGGTTTCTCTGTGTAGTTCTGGCTGTCCTGGAACTTACTCTGCACATCAGACTTGCATCAAACTTAAGAGATATACCTGTCACTGCCCCCAAAGTGCTGAGAATAAAAGCATGTGCCACCCCCACTCAACTTGTGACCCATTTCTAACACACAAGGAGAGGCAAGTGACTGAGTGACTTAGAATTTTGGTCAAAAGCAAACAGCGGCGTTGCTTTCTTCCCGGTCACTTATTTGGGTAAGTCAGGTTCCACACTGCTATGCCATCAAGAGCCGCAGACACATGCCCATGTAGAGGACCGCCTGTCGATACCCACATGCACTCACCTAAGGCAGGCCCTCCAGCCTAGTCAGGCTGACAACATCCTTCTGGGCCCCAAGCCAAAACATCCAGTCCACCTATTCTTTGACTCTCAGAAACTACCTGTTTGCCCTGAGTTACAGAATGTGTGGTGGTAAGAAATAACGTGCCAGGGACTTGGGGCGATGTTAAAGCAAGGGTGTGAGTGGCCCAGCAACAAAAAATAATAAAAAAATCACAAAATGCTGCCTGGCATTTTCAACACCTGAAGTACTATATAAAAGTATTAAATGTTCCATGTTAATCTGTGCATTATGAGTAAGGTACAGAAAGAGAAAAATGGGGGCTGGAGGGACAGCTAGGCAGTTAGGTGCACTGGATACTTCTTTCAGAGGCCTCCAGAAGTTCCCAGCACCCACCTCAGAACCACCTCTCCAGCCTTCACGGGCATCAGTCATCCACATGGTAAACATACATACACACAAGCACTCACAAATAGTAACAAATTTATTTAAAATTAAAGGAAAATGTCCATCTTAGGGGAGCAAGAAAGTTAGCCGTTAATACTGAGACTACCTGAACCAAATCTCATGGGCATTAAAAGCTTTTATTGGGAATATCATCCACCATCTATACAAGTTATATACAAGGCATGAAAATGGAAAACAGCACAAAATACAATTGAGGTATAAGCTAAGAGCACAGTATGTCATGTTTCAATAAATATAATCCAAAATTTGTAAACTAAGTAACCAGATAGATGAATCTTATTTTTTTTTAGTAAAACCATATAAAATATTTATTTCACGTGAGGTAGAGGACAGTTTTGTGTGTCATGTAATGCAACCAACCACAGCAATTTTAATCATAAAACTATACACACTGGCAAAATTACCAGTTGAATTATGCTCAATATAGTCAATTTGCTTCAGTAGTTGCAGAAGGGACCATTCACTTACTGCCTTCACAGGTTAAAACTGAGGAGTAATTGAAGACTGTTACATTGCCTTAAAATTACCAATATAAGTATTTCCAGCAAAAAGCTAATGGCAACTACATGTATCACAAACTCTAACAACTCAAACGATGTCCTAGGCTTAGCAATTATTTTAGTAGGGTGTTTTCATGAGAATTAAACGTGCTGTGCTTTCTTTTTTTTCAAGTGAGGTATCTATATTGAAGAAAAAATCTTATAAATTCCTTTTATACTAAACTAACTTTAAACACTATTTTGTTTTCTGGGCTTAATTTTTTAAAATGTTTTATATTTGATTACTTCCTAATTTCAAAACAGTTAACACTATATATGACACTTAATTCTATTTCTAAACAAGCTTCAAATTGTATATATTTTTAAAAGCCATTTAAGTGGGAAGATTAAAAAAGACTGTCCTTTCAAACAAGATACAATACAAAATACCCATATGTTTTTCTTCCAATAGTGGAAATGCTTAAGTATCTTACACTAGAAAAAGAAAAAAACTAAGTTCTGTTTAAATATCTCAGTTCCGCAGTTCATATCACATATTGCTGATTGCTTCCATGAAACCGTGAACAAGTAGGTCCAAGAGCAGGATCAGATGGACATGATGAACACAATTTGTCATCAGTTTGGAATGCCCTGGCCTAAGGATTAAATGCACAACGGACAAATAGAAACTAATGTTCTTGCTGACCCACTCAAAGCCTAACACATTGAGCACACCTTCTAGAAGTGGATCCGAGCCCTGCAAGACCAGCTTCGCAGCTGTTTCTAGGGAAATACCTTGGGCACGTTTCTTAGTACTTGTGTTTCCTTTTCATTTTGCAAACAAGTCAGACACACAGAGAAACTGGCTGCTCTGATGTGACTTTCAAAGGACACAGGAGCCTGCGAACCAAGTGCAACCCACTGTCTCCCTACTCCAGTCTGTTTATAATTCACTATGTACAGATGAGTTTTCCCATTACTCCTTCCCACCCCTGTACAAAAGATTTTACATATAAACAGGTTATATATTAAATGTTATAAAATTAGCTCAAGAAGCATAAAACATCCTTATCCTCAAAAACACAAGAAATTCAAGCAAAGGAATATATTTCAAAAATATTAAAGCCCAAGCCAAACCTAAGTTGTTGGTCAAATCTTTCGGTGTTCAAAAGTCCTGGTTGATTGGCAGGTGGTTTGAGTCTCCTTGAGGGCAGCAGTTCCCACACTTGGACCACAGAGAGAAACCATCACCACCACAGCAGGCATCACTCGCCGTCTCTCCTGCACTCTACAAACTCTGCAGTGCACTCCTAAACCCAGGTTTTCAGAGCACATGGTCTCCTTTCTTCCTGACAGAACAGAGTCTGAGGAAGTATCTGCTTGCCTAGTAAGCTTGGCACAATGCACAAGACCGAACACCAGAACGAACTTTAAGATAGCAACCAGCACACAAAATGAGCATGCATAAAATAAGTCTCCTATGGAAAGTTAAGCAGTGGTCACTTTGGGAGTATGACAGAGTTTCAATTTCGTTTTCAAGCTATATGGAGCAATGTAACTTAAAGTTACTTTCAACAGTAGTAGGTATAATATTTACAGCTGATTAAAATTATTTTCAAGGAAGTTCAGACAAAAAACTATGGCACATCCTTTCATCTTCTGGAAAATAAAGGCTATGCTAAACAATGTCATGAGGCCAAGTTTCATTCAAAGACTCGAAAAATTACATGTGCTTTAGTAGCACGTAAGTAGAAGAGTTTTGAGTAATCAGAAAAATAAATGGTGTAAGTTTGCCTCCCACATAGCCCAGCTGCACTATAACTGACAACTAAGCTAAAGCTATTTTACAAATGGCTGTGATTTTTCTTTCCCCAGATCTAAATAAAATGACATATATGGTCCCTGTGCAATTTAACATCTGTTTCTCCTCAAGGAGGTTACAAAAGTCAACACATTAAATTATAAAGCTAACATAGAGGAGTAAATCCCCATTTCGGTCAAAATACATTTAGAAAGCAAACTCCCTTTTGGAAAAAGTTGCTTTTAGATGTATCAAGAAATATGTATGAAGAAACATGTATGAAGAAACGAAAGAGCAGTGACAGCCTTAACTCTTAAGTTATTCCTAAGCACAGACACCAAGTCCCTTCATGTAGTGAACATACACACACACACACACACACACACACACACACACACACCCAGGTGTGGTGGGGCCCACGCCTGTAGATCCAACACTTGGGAGGCAGAGGCAGGAGGAACCCTGCAATTTGAAGGGGAAACAAAACAAAAAGAAAAACCACAATGCTCTTAGAATTCTCCCTAGTAAATTTCAAGCTGAGCATCAACTAATGGGAAAGCCACTGGTCAAAAATAACAGACTTTAATGTGCAAAAAAATAAAAATAAAAGTGCAGAGGCTGCCCTTCCCCAAACCACGGAATTCATTTGTCATCTAAAGTTCATCCAAAATTCCTGCTAGTAGCAGATACTTCAAGGGTGAATTATTAAGCTATCAGATATTATTAGCTGACTGTAAATTCCTGATTTTAAGATTAAAGAGTCATAATGGTCCATTCGTGCAAGTTTTAAGGTAACATTAAAATATACAAAAGTCCAAAATAACCTTCAAGATATTTAATATTTTATAATTTAAAAGAAAAAAATCCATTATATAAATTTCAGTAAGACCCTTTTTAAGACTACATATAAAAACTGTACAAGAGGAACCAATGTACATCAGTGGGATCCATTTTCCTCATGAAGATGAATATTCTCACACCATTAACAATAAAAGTTAAGCAATCATTTTAATTTTCTTAAGTCAACACACACATATCTAGATATAGCCACTCTTAAACCAAAAGACAAATTACAACTGCTCTTGTGTGCAGCATGAAGGTACAGCAAAGCATGCTCCCCCACAATGTACACTGGGGTGGTACTATCATTCCATCAGTAAGATTCCTCTTAGGAGGAACTTCATTCCACAACCTGAACAAAATAAAACACAAACTTGGTATATAAAAATGAAAAGATCCCAGCACTCAAGAGGCAGAGGCAGCTGGATCTCTGAGCTCGAGGCCAGTCTGGTCTACAGAGTGAGTTCCAGGACAGCCAGGGCTACACAGAGAAACCGTATCTTGAAAAACTAAAAAGAGGAGATTCTGTAATAAGATATTCTGTAATGAGAAGGAAGACACAGAGTTGGCTGGCTCTGTATAATAAACATTACCCTGTATCTAAGCTCCAGACTGAAATAAGCATACAAAACTGACATTGCTCTTTTCCACCACATAGCGCAGCTGTGGAAAGTATGTAACTGTTGGGCTTGCCTCAGAAATACAGGTAGACAGACTGTCCACAGACTGAAATCACATAGGTCAGCATTACCAAGCTGACTGAAAAATGTACAAAGAAGCAAATGTTCATTCATTTGGAAAACGGAAAAATTGATGTACTACTATATAATCTTTGCACTTTGCTGCCCTACAAATGAACAGAATGTCTAGTTATCTTCATTCATATAAGATGATAAAATTTAATTTCCAAAGCAAGCAACAAACATAAATCCCTGTCAACCAAATACAGAAGCATCTCTTCTATTCCTTGGTGGTCTTTGACGATTTCACAATCTGCAACTTCAGCTCTTTTATCATCATCTCTAACTTCTGTCTCGCCTCCCGCTCTTGTCTGAGTTCATCCTGGAGTTCTTGCCTGTCCGCCTCAGCATGGTCCAGTCTCTGCCTCAGTTCTGCCAACTGTAGATTTAAAAGACTGTTAGTTTCCATCCCTTTGATTATTTCCATTGAATCATCTTACCGTGGTTACAAAACAAACTGCCATTTGCTTTTACAAAATGAACTATGTCCATGCACACCTCAGAAAACCAGTCCTTTTGACATCTGACATGACAGTGAACTGCAGGAACAGAGAGGAACGAGCATGCAGCATACTCCCCAAAGGCTTCTAGCTCACTCCGACTCTCTCCACGGCTGCTATGATAATGTGCTCATCTCCTCCATATTTGTGATAACAGTAACAGAATTATTCATGTTTGCTAATTTGGAACAAAAACTCATCGTACTATATCAAAATAACAAAGAAACTATATTCTAATTATTTGTTTATTCATCTATATGGTGCTAGAGATTGAACCTAGGGTCCTATGCATGTTAAGGTGTTTTAATACTCATCTATATCCCTAGCCCAAAAAGATGCAAACTTTACATACAGACAGTAAGTACTAAATTACAGAATCCCAATAAAAACTGAAAATAATAAAGGTTAAAAAAAAAATCTTACTGGAGCCAAATGTGGGGGTATATACCTTAAATCCCAGCATTCTTAGTGGGGAACATAAAGCTGTATTTAAAGTAGTTTTCCGTTCTGAAGCCTGGCCCGGGAAGCGAGTGCCCACCCATGCTGAGTGATTGGTGCTCTCACCTGGGCTGCGTACTCGGCCTCTTTATCCTTCTCCAAGTTTGAGTCACAGGTGCATTTCTGCTTCATCACCTGCTCCAACTTCTTCTCCAAGTCTCTCTGTTCAATATAAAATTCCTCCATCCTCTGAGCATGCTCATTCTGCAAAGACTCAAGCTCCTTCTGTAGATTCTGCTGCTCTTCAGTGAGCTCCTTCATCGCCTTAGAGCTGCTCAGCATCTCCACTTCCTGTAACATAGCGACAACTCCTTATTTCCAGCCCCTCAGGAAAACCTAAGTCAGCTATGTAGCATGCCTGCAGAAGTGACTGACGTGAAGGACGCCTTCTTAGCACAGAACTGCACCACCCTGAATCCGTCTGCTGCATCGCATTCTGACTTTCTCAACATTAAAAACTATCATAATAATGACTATTTCTTAGGTCAATTTACCATCTGAAGCTGTTGCTTCTTCTGCAGAATTGAATTCAGCTTCTCCTGCTGTTTTACATAGGTTCTCATCACTTCTTCCATAATCTTTCCCTTGTCGTCCTCACAAGTAACATCTCTGACCAGAAACGGAGACGAAGCTTCAGCATCAAGCTTGCTTATGTCTCTCACTAAGTTGCAAACAGCAGACTCAGATTTCTTTTTACTCACAGAATTATTTGAGATCAATGGATCTTTGGAAAGAAAACAGAAGGGGAAAAAAGTATTAATATCAATGGCAAAAAGTCCCTGGACCAATCCATAAGCAAAATTAAGAAACAATTTCATTTCTAAATCACCCAAAAGCAGTAAGATACTTAGGGAGAACATTAACAAAAGCGCCAAATGCATACAACGACAATTGCAATGCTCATCAACTAAAAGGCTTTACCTACTCAGTGTACTCCACATCAAAACTCCAGCTCTATTTTCAGAGAAACCGCCAGCTCGTTCTGAGATTCACATTTAAATGTGAGAAATTCAAAACTGCTACAACAATCTAGAAAAATAGTAATAAATGTGGAGGGCTCACAACCCCCAACTTCCTATCTTCCTACAAGCTACAGAAATTACAACATGGGTCAGGTAAAGTGTTTGTCACTTAAGTGAAGACCTGAGTTTGAATCCCCAGAATCCTTGAGAAGCTATATGCACACTGGCAAAAAGAAAGGCAGATACAGACGAATCCCAGAAGCTCAAGAGAAAATTAACAAAAACACTGCCTCAAAGTGGAAGGTGAAGGCAATACCCAAAGTTGCCCTCTATCCTCCACATGTCCTCACACACAAATGCACATACATGGTGTAGGAGGGTCTTCTTTCTGTGTTGCTTTCATTGGTCAAATAAAGAAACTGCCTAGGCCTTTTGGTAGGGTAGCCCTTAGATGGGCATGGTAGACAGAACAGAATTCTGGGAGGAGGAAGAAGGAGAGGCATGGCTCTCCTCTCCGAGATGGATGCTGGTTAGACTCATGCCGGTAAGACACAGTCAAGTGGCTATACACATTAATGGAGATGGGTTAAATTAATATGTGAGAGTTAGCCAATAAGGGACTGGAGATAATGGGCCAGGCAGCAATTTAATTAATACAGATCTCCATGTGATTATTTCGAGCATAAGCTAGCCAGGTGGCCAAAAGCTAGGCGGCAGGAAGCAGCCCACGTTCCTTTTACTACACATACATGTACACAAACATACATTGTACATACACACACAATCAAAATTGTGGTACTGACACAAGACTAGACATTGAAATCAGAAAAAAGAATTCAGAGTTCAAACGCTCACTTTAATAGCATATATGCTAAAAGCAGAATGATTCAAAATTAGACATGGGCTCTGAGCAAGGACGACATGCAAACTTGTGAAGCATTCCCTATTTTTAGAGCAAAGTATAATGATGAGTATGTATGAAAATATAATAATGGACCCTAGTATTTTATGCTAACTTAAAAAGCTAACAAAAAAAATTCAGAATCCAAGCCAGGAATGGTGAATAACACACACCTGTGATCCCAACACACAGGAGACTGGTGTAGGTCACAAGCTCAAGACCAGCCTGAGCTACCAGTGAGGTTCTTGTCTCAAAAGACCAATTCCCAAGAATTCAAGAGTCCAGAAAGAAATCCATACATTCATCAATTGCTGTTATTATTGTTCCAAGACAATTTAATCAGGAAAGAAACAATTCAAACAAGAAAGAACAATCTCTTCACCAAGTGAGCAGCAGTACTAACATGTTAAGAAGCAAAAGTGGGACTCCCCACAGTATATAAATAGTAATTCAAGGCCAGGAAGTAGTGGTGCATGCCTTTAAGCCCAGTATTTCGGAGGCAGAAGGAGGAGGATCTCTATGAGTTCAAGGCCAGCCTAGTCTACAGAGCGAGTTCCATGACAGCCAGGGCTACAGAGAAATACTGTCTTGAACCTCCCCCCATGGTATAAATATTGATTCAAAATGACCTAAATGTGAGATTAAAGAATTAACTAAGAGCTGAAATCATTAAGTATACATCTTCCTGGCCTTGGACTAGACAACGCTTTCTTATATATGACACCTGAGGTAAGAAGGCAAATTAATCAAACTGAATTGCATAAAAACTGCAACCTCATATGCTTTAAGGATCACTAAATAAGAAAGTGAAAGGGAACTTCAGAATGACAAATCGTATATCTAATAAGAACCAAATTATAAAATGAGCTCCTGGAACTTAACAGGAAAGATACAACCCAATTTAAACACAAGCAAATTGGACTTTTACCTCAAATAAAACAGCCAATGTCCAGAAAATCATAAAAAGATTCTCAACTTTATCTAAACCATTAGGAAATTACAAACCAAAACCACATACAACACTATACTATAACCACTGCAATGCCCGCATCCAGAACAGACAGTAACACGTGCTGACACAGATGCACACTATACCATAACCACTGCAATGCCCGCATCCAGAACAGACAGTAACACATGCTGACACAGATGCACACTATACCATAACCACTGCAATGCCTGCATCCAGGACAGTAACACGTGCTGACACAGATGTGCAGACACTGAAATCTTGCCTAATAAAAACACGCAAGACCTCAATAACACACATTATCCTTTTTATCTAAAATGTCTGAATAAGCACATCCTATGACCACACACAGACAAGGAGCTAAGGGAAAGGAGAATGGGGTGTCTGTCAGAGGGTGCCGGGGACGTGTATAGGAGCCATTAATAATGCTCAGGATCAAACAGTTGTCAGGCTTTTCACAACACGGTCATTACACTTAAGGCAAATGAATTGCACAATTAAGTTACATGGTATGTCAAAGGTAACTTATTTTTTTAGATTTAGTTTTTATATGCACCAGTGTCTTGCCTGCAGTGGAGATTAAATCCCCTGGAGCTAGAGTTACAGGTAAATTGTGAGCTACCATGTGGGTGGTGGGAATCAAACCCAGGTCCTCCCAAAGAGCAATAAATGCTCTTAATCACTGAGCCATCTAATAAACTAGGAAACCAAATAATAAAAATATAACGATATATGAATTAGTAGTCCCATCATAGTTCAATCCAGAGAAAACCAAGTCACAACAATACCAGGTCAAACACAGGAAGCTGTCAAACCTATGACAGCAGTGTAGCATAGCAGCGAGACCGCCTGAAAACTCACAGGCTGCCAAATGGTCAACCGCATGGCACTGAGCAAAGCTGCAAAGTCCAATGGGACGGGGCAACACATACATGCACACCTCTCCTGTGGTCCGTGACAATTTATTTTAAGGGTTTCTCTGTAGCTTTGGAGCCTGTCCTAGAACTAGCTCTTGTAGACCAGGCTGGCCTTGAACTCACAGAGGTCCGCCTGCCTCTGCCTCCCAAGTGCAGGGATTAAAGGCGTGCGCCACCACCACCCAGCAGTCCATGGCATTTTTAAAGGCAGAGGAAACAGGCAGGTTTTCTTTCCCACACCACTCAGCATCTGCATCAATGCCGTCTGTCTTACTGTGTAAGCAGCCTCAGTTCCGTATTCCTGAACTGTGAGTCCAATATTAAATACTTAACATCACGTAAACAGCATCTCAGCTCACAGTAAGAAATCAGAAAAAAGACGAGGAAGTGCTGAAGGATGCTACCAACAAGAGGAAGGAAGAAAAGGCGAGTGAGAAAGCCATCTGCACCGTAGCTGTGCCGCTTCCTCTCTTCACTAGCCTCCACAGGCTGCCACCATTCTAGAAAGCTCACAACTGAGGTGCAAGAAATCACCCTGAGTTTTCAATGTTAGAACTGTTTTAAAGTAAAAGCTGTGATTATATGGGGGAAAAAATTACCTTAAATAGAAAAGGCTTTTAAAATAATGATTAAATGTGTCTCTTAACCAGCTGATTTTAAAAATATAACTTCTAAATACTTACCTAAATGACTGTATAACTCTCTACTTGTTTTTAAATCCATTTTCTCCTGCTCCTCAAGTGAGACGTCTGGGTAAGACACTGTTCTTTGTTGTTTACTATTACCATGAGGCTTTTCTGCCTGTTTGGAGAACTTACTTGTCTCTGTCTTGGTGACCTCTTTAGACTGGGAGGCAGATGTGAGTGACACATTTGGTGCAACCACTTTATCACACATGTACAAGTAGTAGCTGGAAACAGAGGTGAAACAAAACACACATTACATATCACGCTTAAGTATAAATCCAGATGTGGTGTCTCTCTATAAACAACTTTCTGCTACTAGGACAATGTAAAATACAAAGAACAGAGATCACAAAAAAGATTTCTTAGAAAAAAGTCAGGACTTATGGATAACAAAACTTTGAGGGATTTTTTTGTTATTTTATGAGTAATTTCAAAATACCAAAAAGACACTGAAGAAAAAGTGAGTCTCTTCCTCTTCCCTCAAAAGCACCTGAGAACTAAAGCCATGAAACGGAACGTATGGCACCCACATTTATAATCCCAAAACCTGGGAGCTGAAGCAGGAGGACTTGCCATGAGTTAAAGTTAGCCTGGGCAACACAGTGAACTCCAGGCATGCTTCCCCGGGCTGACACTGAGATCCTTTCTCAAGACACAGATAACTACAGGCATGAAGTTCCTCGTGGAGCTTCTTAGCCGCTGTGCTTCATTCAGTGAGGCTTGCTGCAGGGAGAGAACAGTGCAGGCTACTCTGGTGCCTGTCTTCTTATCCACAAGTAAGCAGTGTGTGACTGAGTCAAAGAGGTGCTCCCAGGAGCCTTTTTCTATGCCTCAGAGAGAGGACACATTCTTGGAATATTGCCCAGCTACCAGGCAATGCTTCCATCAAAACCTGTCTTAGTTAGGGTTTCTATTACTACAACGACACACCTCGATCAAAAGGAAGTTGGGGAGGAAAGGGTTTATTTGGCTTACTCTTCCACAGAACTGTCCATCACCAAAGGAAGTCAGGACAGGAACCTAGAGGCAGCAGCTGATGCTGACTTGCTCAGCCTGCGTTCATATAGAACCCAGGACCACCAGCCCAGGGAGGGCACCACCTGTTGTAGAAGGCCACTTATTCATTCCTGGCCGCCCAGAACCCAAACAATCACACAGAAACTGTATTATTTAAATCACTGCTTGGCCAATTACTTAAGTGAATTGCTAGCTAGCTCTTACATCCTTTGCTTAACCCGTTTTTATTATTTTATTACCACGTGGCCTACCGACAAGGTTCTGCCCAGTGGCTTGTGTCTTTGTCCTCTGGTGGCTCCCTGGCTTCTCCCTGATTCTGCCTACTCTCTGTTATATACCTATCTGTTTCAGCCTGGCAATATGCTGTTAAGGCATTGGCTGAAAGCAGCTTCTTTATTCATTAACCAATGAAAGCAACACAGAAGGACTTCCCACACCAACAACCTACCATGGGCTGGCCCTCCCCCATAAATCACTAATTAAGAAAATGCCTTACAACTAGATCTCATGGAGGCATTTCCTCAACTGAGGCTCCTTCCTCTCTAATGACTCTAGCTTGTATCAAGTCAGCACAAAACCAGCCCCTACAAAACCAATTCTTAATAAAGCAGAAATAATAAACTATATAAAACTAAAACTGAAAGAACTACTGACTTTTCTCAAAGTGCAAATAAAACTACTCGGTAGGTAATTTTATGCAAGCTTTACATTTTTGTAAAGCTTACATTTACAAATTTGAAAAGATATGGTCATTTAACCAACACTGCCCTACACTTTAATCTCTGTTTACATCTCACTTTCTTTTTCTTTTTTTTTTTCGAGACAGGGCACTAGCTCTTGTAGACCAGGCTGGCCTCGAACTCACAGAGATCCTCCTGCCTCTGCCTCCCGAGTGCTGGGATTAAAGGCATGTGCCACCACCGTCCGGCTACATCTCACTTTCTGTAAGCAGGATAGTTATGTTACTACTCTTTACGTCTGGTTCTGAATACTTGGTGTTCTGCTTTAAAATCAAACCAACAGAACCTCTCGTGGGTTTAACAGTGTCCTGAAGACTCAATTGGGAACTGTATGATTGTGATGGGGTGCATGTGTGAATTATAAAACTAATACTGACAACCATGATGTGATGGAGGTGGGTCTTGTATCTATTTGTTGCTTTCATTGGTTAATTAATAAAGAAACTGCTTGGCCCTCTGATAGGGTAGAATTTAGATAGGCGGAGTAAACAGAACAGAATGCTGGGATAAAGAAGCCAAATCAGGCAGTCGCCATGATTCTTCCACTCCAGACAGACGCAGGTTAAGATCTTCCCTGGTAAGCCACCTCATGGGCTACACAGATTATTAGAAATGGGATAGATCAATATGTAAGAGCTAGCCAATAAGAGGCTGGAACTAATGGGCCAGGCAGTGTTTAAAGAATACAGTTTTGGGGCTGGAGAGATGGCTCAATGGTTAAGAGCATTGCCTGCTCTTCCAAAGGTCCTGAGTTCAATTCCCAGCAACCACATGGTGGCTCACAACCATCTGTAATGAGGTCTGGTGCCCTCTTCTGGCCTGCAGGCATACACGCAAAACAGAATATTGTATACTAAATAAATAAACAAACAAACAAATAAATAAATAAATAAATGAGAGAGAGAGAACACAGTTTCCGTGTAATTATTTCGGGTACAAAGCTAGCCGTGTGGGTGGTTGGGTGCCAGGAACGTAGCCCCTCCGCTCACATTACTACAAAGATGCAGTTTTATTGAAATATAAACACTAGATTGTGAAAGATGTGGTTATTATAAAATCTCCAAATAATAATCAAACTAAGGCTAGGGGCAGGAGTGCACACCTCTTATCTCAGCAGTTAGGAGGCAGAAGCAGGTAGATTTCATGAGTTCAAGACCAGCCTGGAGTATCTAAGGAGGCCAGCCTGGGCTATCTAGTGAAAATCTGTTTCAAACAAAAAACAACAAAACAAAACAGCAAAGTAACACACTCTTGAAGAGTCAGTTTACCTCTTAAAGGTAAAAGAAATTAATTCTTTCAGTTTCTACTTAAAAGTAGAAATTTTATATTTCAAGAAAAAAACAATAAAGATTATTGTAAATGTTCAATACAATTTTACAACTCACTTCACTTTAGACTCTTTGATTTTTTTTCTAATAAAATAGCTAAACAACTTTCCTATGATTAAAAACAAGCAGAGGTGTGTTCAATTCTGATGTACTTGTCTGAAATAACTCTGAATCTTCAAAGTCTATTATCAGGGAAAACCTAAAGGTAAGTGATTTCATTTTCAATCCTCAGAAAGATACCTAACAGACAGCTGTAAATAAATCATAAACAAGCAAACAAACAAATGAAAACTCACTTACCTGGGGTGTAAAAACGAATGCGTCTGAGAAACATGGTCACCTTCCTGTTTTATAACAGGGTACCAGGATGGCAATTCCATTCCTGACGGTGTATCTGTCTGTAGGAGTATGTGGAAAGGAACGTTACTGAGCGCAAAGATAACTTCTTTATGTTTAGAGTCTTTAAGGGATAGAACCCATGGATTGAGCCCAGGGCCTTGGCCGTGTTATGAAAGCACTCTGAACTGGGCTTTATCGCCGCCCCCTGGCAGGGCTGCAGAACAAGTGTCCTATTTTTAAGATTCATTGTCTACTAAATGCTCTCCCACAGTGCTGTCTCATTTCTTAAAGCTTAGCAACTGCTACTATCTGGTCTCAAGTTCTAATATGTTCACTCAAATGACATGGCTTAACAGAAACAATTTCACACTTTGAGAATCGTTTTCAAATAATATAACAGGACCCCAAAAGTACACAGCACTGAGAACCTCTGACTCTCACTCAGTCTTGCCCACATTCATAACCAGCCGCCACCTGACAGCACAGCATTTTCTAGAATTTTAGCTAGATACCATTCTATACTCTGGCCAATTAAATCTAAAACTACTGTGCTTGCTAGTAAGAATCAGTAAACCATATTCCTCAAATATTAAAACTTTTTTTTTTTGCCTCGAACTCTCAGAGATCCACCTGCCTCTGCCTCAAGTGCTGGGATTAAATATTAAAAGCTTTTTAAAAAGCACTTATAAATAAAGGAACAGGGGGATAACTGGTAATTTCATAAATATTACTGGCTAAGAATTTTACACACTCTGCTTAATTCTAATAAATGCCCCCCTCCATAAAGCAGTGATCAGAGTTAAAAACAACCTTAGAAAAATGAACTAACTATAGTTCTAGCATCTTCCTAATTTTGGCCTGCTTTATGTTTCCTCCTCAACTATTTCCATCACAGTAATTACCCACTCTTGTGGGACAACAGGGAGCAAGGGTTCCTGAGAGAAAGGGAAAGGAGCCAAACTGAGGCAGATGCCAGACAGGATGTGGACAGATCTAAGACAGTGAGTGAAAGGAAGGCTAGCCTGAAAAGACAGCAGGATATTTTTCTGAATCCTTGCTTCTGAGAGACTCCAATGCCATCTGCAATTCGGAAGTACATGGAAGAATGACAACCCCATGATGAAAATACAGGGCTGAGGGTGAGGCTCAGGATAGAGTATTTGCCTGGCAGACATTAAGACTCTGAGTTCAGTTTCCAGTACCACACATAAAAGTGCCCCACCTAAGGGAAGGTCACCAACACTACGAATTGGAGAAGCTAGTTTCTCCGTCCCAGTATTTCAGGTCAGGAAAGAACACAAAGGAAAATCATGCAAATTGGTCTGGGGTGGGGGACACCTTGCTAATGGAGAAAACCAAAGTAAATAAAGAAACTTTGGATAGATCAGACAAGCAGCCCAGAGACTAAAACAAAAAAGAGCCAAAAACAGAAGGAACAACTCCTAGAATAAACACTACACAACTTCATAATCCAGAAATGACTTTAACTACAAAAAAAAAAAAAGTTTTTAAAAGAAGAAAATAAAAGGCAAGCTAAGTGAGATGACTCAGTGTTAAAGACAGTTGACATCAAGCCTGACAATCCTGAGCTCAACCTGTAGAACACAGACAGGAGAGACTGACTCTACCTCCACACATATGCCATGGCACATGATCTCACCCAAATAAATACAATCTTTAAAATTTAGAAAAGAAAAATTTAAAACATGATAATTTGTATGTTTTCTAAGAATTATTGGATGAGGAATTTGAAACACAAATAAGACTATTATTATTATAGAGGTAAAGTATTATAGAGGTAAAGAATATTTTTTAATATTTATTTATGTATTATGTATACAATATTCTGTCTGTGTATATTCCTGCAGGCCAGAAAAGGGCACCAGATCTCATTACAGATGGTTGTGCGCCACCATGTGGTTGCTGGGAATTGAACTCAGGACCTTTGGAAGAGCAGACAATGCTCTTAACCGCTGAGCCATCTCTCCAGCCCCAGTAAAGAATATTTTTATAAGTTAATCTTTATTTTTATTTTACATGCATATAAATACTTTGCTTGTATGTATGCCTGTGGATCATGTATGTGCAGTCTGTGGAAGCCAGAAGAGGGCATCAGATCCCCTGGAACTAGAGTTCCAAGTTGGCCTTGTGGGTGGTGGGAATCAAACCCAGGTCCTCTAGAAGAGCAACCAATGAACTGCTGAGCCACAAGAATAGAACACTTGAAAGGATTTAAGAGTTGGTTATCTATTGAAGACTTCTATGTGAGCAGACGATTTCTTTCTGAAAACTTCACAAAGCTGATAAAATAGTCAAGACTCAAATAAACATCACAGTTCTGAGGGGTTATTCAGAATCTTGGCAGACTCAACCACTTATTTACAAAGTAAACCAATCAATTGTTTGCGGTTTCTCAGCCTACGGCAGATTAAAAAGAGAACTGACTTCTAACAATAAATACTACATGATAAATGTTCACAGACAGCTGACAACCTGATAGAAAAGAGAACCACAAAATAAAAGAATAAAAATTGCTATATAGCAAGATAATCTGAGGATGCCAGCATAGGGCACGCCAAGTCATTTACTACATTTCAATTGTGTACTTTGAGTTCTATAGTAGCTGGTACTTAAGTCTTGAATCCAGATGACATTAAATTATATTCTGTATACTACTTAGATCTAAACTTATTTGAAGCACTTAAATTTATCTTAAATGTTTACACTTTTAGGGATCTGAAGAGTGGCTCAGTTGTTAAGAGCCCTGGATGCTCTTGTAGGCGACCTGGGTTCATCCCAACACCCAAAAGAAGGCCCACAACCATCTCTAGCTCCAGCTCTAGGGGAGCCAACATCCTCTTTTGATCTCCAAGGGTACCAAGCATGTATGTAGTGCACAAACATAAATACATACAAGCTAAACACTCATACACAGAAAAAGTAAACCTTAAAAATTAAAAAATGACCCAAATGGCACATTTAAGCCTTTTTTTTAAATATTGTAATTCTTGAAAGTAGCTTAATAGGCAAAATATTTTGCATTCCAACTCTATTTGATAAGAGGATGTGCCGATAAGCATCTGTAAATTAACTCTAACAAACTAAAGAAAGCTAAGATTACCTTGAATTAAACATAATTTTTTGATTAAACTCACTTTAAAAAAAAACTTTAATTGACCTTATGTATTAAATAATTCTTGATATACTGCCCAGTAAATCATTTTCAGACTTTTTAAAGTTAAAACCACTCAACTGAACCACACATTTAAAAGGTTTACTGGTACAGATACTGGAATCTGAAATCTTCAGAATAGCTTGCAAAAAGTTTTCAAAAACCTTGAGCTGGAACCTGACAACTTAAACAGTAAGTTCATTTCAAAGCTCTTTGACTTGTGTGATAATTTTATTCATAATTTGAGCACAATACGTCTTTTTTTATTTTTGAGGCAGTGGCTCACTATGTAGACCAGAGTGGTCTTGAACTCTGAGATCTACTTTCTTTGCTTCCCAAGTACTAGGTAAGATTAAGGGGTTGAGCCACCATGCCTGGTCATGCCTTTATTTCAGCAATATCTCTGAAACATTACCTTAAGTAGATGTATTTATTTATTTTTAATCATTCATCCTCAATTTCTATTCTTTATTTCCTATTCTCACATCAATCAACCAACAGAGTCACAGACCACATTCTGAGCAAATCCCATGTTCTAGTTTGCTTTCTGCTGCTATGCTAAATGCCATGACTAAAAGCAATTTGGGGAACAGGATTTATTTAGCTCAAGCTTCCAATTACGAGTCCATCACCACGGGATGTCAGGACAGGAACTTGAGGCAGGAACTGAAGGAAGCAGACACCCACAGAAGGTGTTTACTGTCTTGCTCCCTGACTGTCAGCTAGTTTTCTTGTACAGCAAAGATCTCCTGGCTATGGCTGATACTGCCTACAGTGGAGTGAGCCCTTTTACATCAATCAGCCATCAAGAAAATGCCCCACAGGTAAGTCACACACAGGCTAATCTGATCTGGGCAATCCCCAATTGAGGTTCCTTCAGATAACTGTGGACCATGCCAAGCAGACAACTGAAGCTAACCAGAACACTCTTTAATGACTATCTAGACTGTTCCTAGCCAAAGTCAGAATTCCCAATTTCACCTTAGTAAGTGGCTATCCAGACTCTGAACAGTAACTTGAAGTCAAGCACAAATTTGCTTTTGTATTTTCAGTATCTAGCACCATGCCTACCATGCAGTATTTGTTGAATGATTTTGAATGACAGGGTAGCTCAGTAATTCCAGGATAGCACTGTAAGGGTATTGTGGCAAGGAGCTGCAATGATTCCATGGTCAAGTATCTGCCCAGCATCCGTGAGGCTGAGGATTAAATCTCCAACACCAAGAAAGGAGAGGAGGGCAGGACAAAGGATGAGAGGGAGTAGCACCCGGTTACTGGCCACCGTGAATCTCAAAAGACAGTCGTCACATTTGGCATCTTTAGCTGGACATGTTTGGCTACATTTTCTCCGATGTACAAATTAAACAATACAAGTCCAAAGAAAATGCACAATGCCAACAGTGATGAAGTACTGCAAGTTAATTTTGCCTAAAATGCTGCGGTAAGCCATAAACACATCTAACAAATTATCCTAACTACATGTTAAAAACAATTAAGCACGTGTTACAAAACGAAACATTCACAGACATGCCAGATTTTCTCTCCGAGGCCTACATTTGTCTCAACATACAAATTAGGTTTTCAGAAAAAAAGAATATAATTAAACAGAACAGCAGTAATGCTCCTGATCAGAAATACAAGTTAGATATCAAAATGGGAGCCTTTTATCTTACCACTCAATGTGGGACAATTTATTCCTTTCTGTACTTAAACATTAAACAATAAGCATCCAACCCTGGCAGACAGAAGGACATCATGTGTAGTTTAAGGCAGTCTTCCTAGTTTAGAACGCTTCTACAGCGGGGCTGTCCCACTATGTCATCCTTTCAGACAGACAAGCAAAGTTTTAGATACATTATTTAATCCAAAGTTTCTTTTTCTACTAGA